CATCATCATCATCAGCACCACCACCACCACCACCGCCATCATCATCATCATCATCATCATCATCATCATCATCATCAGCATCATCATCAGCATCAGCAGCATCATCATCAGCATCAGTATCAGCATCATCAGCATCATCATCATCATCATCATCATCATCATCATTGTCATCATCAGCACCATCATCATCATCATCATCATCAGCAGCAGCAGCAGCATCAGCATCATCATTATCATCAGCATCATCATCATCAGCATCAGTATCATCAGCATCACAATCAGCATCATCATCATCACCATCATCATCAGCATCATCATTAGTGTCATCATCATCATCAGCATCATCATCAGCATCAGCAGCATTATCATCATCATCATCATCATCATCAACATCATCAACAGCAACAGTATCATCGTCATCATCAGCATCATCATCATCAGCAGCAGCAGCATCAGCATCATCATCAGCAGCAGCATCAGCATCGGCATCATCATCATCATCATCATCAGCAGCAGCATCATCAGCATCATCAGCATCAGCATCATCCTCGTCATCATCAACATCAGCATCAGCATCATCATCAGCATCATCAGCATCATCAGTATCATCGTCACCATCATCATCAGCATCAGCATCATGATCATCGTCAGCAACATCAACATCAGCATCAGCATCATCATCAACAACATCATCATCGTCATCAGCATCAACATCCTCATCAGCATCAGCAGCAGCATCATCATCATCATAATCATCATCAGCATCATCATCGTCGTCATCGTCATCATCATCATCATCATCAGCAGCAGCAGCATCATCACATTCCTGCTGCTACGCCTGCTCCGCCTGCTCCTCCTCCTCCTCCTCCTCCTCCTCATCCTCCCCGTTTTCCCTCTCCCTCATCATTCTCCGCATGTTCATCCTCCCCCTCCTCCTCCTCATCCCCATCCTCATCAGCCCCAGCATCATCGTCATCAGCATAAGAAGCATCATCATCATCATCATCATCATCATCATCATCATCATCATCAGCAGCATCATCAGCATCGTCAGCATCATCATCGTAATCAGCATCAATCATGCTCAGCATCAGCATCATCAGCATCAGCATCAGCATCATCATCCTCAGCATCAGCATCATCATCAGCATCATCATCATCAGAAGCAGCAGCAGCATAATCATCATCATCTGCAGCAGCAGCATCATCATCAGCAGCATCATCAGCATCATCATCAGCATCAGGGTCATCATCCTCATCATCATCAGCAGCATCATCATCATCAGCATCAGCATCAGCATCAGCATCATCATCATCATCGTCATCATCAGCACCATCATCAACAGCAGCAGCATCAGCATGAGCATCAGCAGCATCAGCATCAGCAGCATCATCGCCATCGTCATCACAATTGTCATCATCAGTACCGTAACCATCAGCAACATCATCGCCATCATCATCAGCAGCATCATCACCAGCATCATCAGCGGCATCATCAGCATCATCAGCATAATCGTCATAGTCAGCATGATCATCAGCATCATCATCATCATCAGAAGCAGCAGCAGCATAATCATCATCATCATCATCATCATCATCATCATCATCATCATCATCATCATCATCAGCATCATCATCATCATCATCATCATCAGCATCATCGTCATCATCATCATCATCATCATCATCATCATCATCATCATCATCATCATCATCATCATCATCATCATCATCATCATCATCATCATCATCATCATCATCATCATCATCATCATCATCAATCAGCATCATCATCATCATCATCATCATCATCATCATCATCATCATCATCATCACCATCAGCATCATCATCATCATCAGCGAAAGCATCAGCATCATCAGCGTCAGCATCATCATAAACAACAGCAGCATCATGATCAGCATCATCATACCTCACCATCACAACAATGATCACCACCATCATCGTCATCAGCAGCATCATCATCATCATCAGAAGCGTCATCATCATCATCATCATCATCATCATCATCATCATCATCATCATCATGGTCATCGTTATCATCATCATCCGCATCATCGCCATAATCAGCATTATCGTCATCGTCATCATCGTCATCAGCATCATCATCAGCATCAGCATCATCATCATCATCATCATCAGCAGCATCATCATCAGCATCGTCATAATCAACATCACCATCATCATCATCATCATCATCATCATCATCATCATCATCATCATCATCATCACCATCACCATCGGCATCATCACATCATTATCACCACCGTCATCATCATCCTCATCATCATCAGCAGCATCAGCATCGTCAACAGCATCATCATCACCATCAGCACCAGCATCAGCATCAGCATTGGCATCATCACATCATTATCACCACCGTCATCATCATCCTCATCATCATCAGCAGCATCAGCATCATCAACAACATCAGCATCATCATCAGCAGCAGCAGCGACATCACCATCTTCAATCATCAACCACCAATGATCATCATCGTCATCATTATCATCATCGTCAGCAGCATCACCATCATCAGCATCAACATCATCATGATCAGCACCATCATAATGATAATAAGTATTATCAGCATCAACATCAGCAGCAGCAGCGTCACCGTCATCATCCTCGTCATCACCATCATCATCCTCATCCTCACCATCACCATCGTCAGCATTGCCATCATCAGCAGCATCATCATCAGCATCATCATCATCATCAACAACAGCAGCAGCATCATCGCCATCATCCTGATTAGCATCATTAGCATCAGCATCATCATCATCGTCGTCATCGTCATCGTCATCATCAGCATCTTCCCTCCACCCTCCCTCCCTCCTCCCTCCCTCCCTCTCTCCGCCTCCCTCCCTCCTTCATCCCTCCCTCCCTCTCTCCCTCCCACCCTCCATCCCTCCTCCCTTCCTCTATCCCTACCTCCCTCCTCCATCCTCCCTCATCCCTCCTCCCTCATCCCTTCTCCCTCCTCCCTCCCCTCTCCTCTCTCCTCCCTCCTCCCTCCCGCTTCCCTCGTCCCTCCTCCTTCCCTCCTACCTCCTCCCTCCTCCCTCCTGGCTCATCCCTCCTCCCTCATCCCTCTTCCCTCCTCCCTCCTCCCTCCTCTCTCCTCCCCCTCCCCCTCCTCCTCATCCTCATCCTCATCCTCCTCCTCCTCCTTCTCCTCCTCCCAGCCACCTCCCACCTCCCACCGCCCACCTCCCACCTCCCACGTCCCACCTCCCACCTCCAACCTCCAACCTCCAACCACCTACATCCTACCTCCTACCTCCTGCCTCCGCCTCCTCCTCCTCCTCCTTTTCCTCCTCCTCCTCCTCCTATTCCTCCTCTTCCTCCTCCTCCTCCTCCTCCTCCTCCTCCTCCTCCTCCTCCTCCTCCTCCTCCTCCTCCTCCTCCTCCTCTTCCTCTTCCCCTTCCTCTTCCTCTTCCTCTTCCTCCTCCTCTTATTATTTTCCTCCTCCTACTCCTCCTCCTCCTCATCCTCCTCTTCCTCCTCCCCCTCCTCCTCCCCCTCCTCCTCCTCCTCCGCTGCCCTGGCTGCGGCACTGCCTTCCAGTGGGCTGGAGTATCGGGAGCGCCCGGAGAAAGAGGATACCGGGGGATGTATCGACCCATATCCAAGAATTCGTGGGGTTCTCACATGGACCTAACCCAAAATTTGGGGTCCCATTCGGGGAGATGCGATAGGCGGGCGTCCACCCTCGATAGGCGTGCGTCCGGATAGCCCCCTGGGGGGGGCATCCCCGAGTTTCCTTCCTTTCTGAGCGGCTTGACTTTTCGGGGAACAGTCGGGGGGTGGAAGCGAAAGGACGAGGAGGACGAGGAGGACGTGCAGGAGGACGAGGAGGACGAGGAGGACGAGGAGGACGAGGAGGACGAGGAGGAGGGGGAGGACGAGGAGGACGAGGAGGAGCACCTGCCAGAGGAAGAGGAGGACGAGGAGGACGTGCAGGAGGAAGGGGAGGAGGAAGGAGCAGGCGAGCCAGCGAGGCGGCGGCGGCGGGGCCTCCGCGACCTCCGTGCGGGCGGCCCGCGCAGCTGCGCCGGGCGGTCGGGCGGCATCGGCTGCCTGGGGCCGGATCCCCTCCTTCGATCCACCATCCTCCTCCTCCTCCTCCCCTCCTCCTCCTCCCCTCCTCCTCCTCCTCCTCCTCCTCCTCCTCCTCCTCCTCCTCCCTCCTCCCTCCTTCCCTCCTCCTCCTCCTACCTCCTCCTCCCTCCTCCTCCTCCTCCTCCTCCTCATCCTCCTCCTCCTCCTCCTCCTCCTCCTCCTCCTCCTCACCTCCTCCTCCTCCCCTCCTCCTCCCTCCTCCTCCTCCCTCCTCCTCCTCCTTCCTCCTCCTCCTCCTCCTCTCCTCCTCCTTCCTCCTCCTCCTCCTCCTCCTCCTCCTCCTCCTCCTCCTCCTCCTCCTCCTCCTCCTCCTCCTCCTCCTCCGCCTCCTCCTCCTCCTCCTCCTCCAATCCTCCTCCTTCCTCCTCCCCTCTCCTCCTCCTCCTCCTCCTCCTCCTCCTCCTCCGCCTCCTCCTCCCTCCTCCTCCTCCTACTCCTCCTCCTCCTCCTCCTCCTCCTCTCCTCCTCCTCCTCCCCTCCTCCTCTCCTCCCTTCCTCCCTCCTCCTCCTCCTCCTCCCCTCCTCCTCCTCCTCCTCCTCCCCCCCCCCTCCTCCTCCTCCTCCTCCTCCGACTTATCCTCCTCCTCCACCTCCATTCCTTTTCCTGGTGAATAACTTCTCCCTGTTGTCGCACCCCGAGTCCATCTTTGAGGGCGGGCTGGGCTTTTCGCCTGAGACTTCCTCACCATTTATGACTCTGAAGCTGAAAAACTGGCAACAGCTTCACTGATGGAAGGCGGGTCGTTTGCAACATGTGATTTTCGCCTTAGCGCGGCGCACATTCAATTTAAATATTCGCAAGAGGTTCATTGATTGAGGGCGGGTGGTTTTCAAAATAATGTGGCTCTCGTCTTTAAAAATTGCAAGAGCTTCACGGGCTGAGGGCGGGTCGTTTTCAAAATGTGGCTCTCGCCTCAGCGCGGCGCACATTCGGTTTCAGAAACTGCAAGAGCTTCGCGGATTGAGGACGGGTGGTTTTCATAATGTCGCTCTCGTCTTTTCGCGGCGCACCTTCGCTTTTCAAAAATTGCAAGAGCTTCACGGATTGAAGGCGGCTCCTTCTCAAAATGTGGCTCTCGCCTTGGCGCGGCTCACATTCGTTTAAAAAACTTGCAAGAGTTTCACGGATTCCCATCATCAACGTGTCAGAACCATTGTTTTGACATGATTCCAGATTCTTCGGGTGCAACAGTCATGTTGATTCGCTGTGTTGAAGTCCCAAGAATCGTGCTCTGGCACGGTTCCGGATTGTCAAGACGCAACAATCAGGTTGAGCCGTGACGTTGGAATCCCGAGAACCATGGTTTGGCATGTTTTAGGGTCTTCAAACGCTTGTCTTCCAGAGGGGCAATTCCTTCAATGGAAATGAACCGTTCTAGGGCCTAGGAAGAGGGAGCTTGGAGGGAGGGTTTATTCCAACATCGCTGATGACTCTTAGGAAGTTGTCGGCCGTTTCGCGGATGAAGGGCGGGTTGTGTTCAAACTGTGGTTCTTGCCTTAGCGTCGCGCACATTCGTCTTCACACAATGCAACAGTTTGATGATGGAGGGCGTGTCCTTTTCAAACTGCGGTCATGGTCTTACCGCCTCGCACATTCATCTCGAAGTCCCAGGAATCATATCCTGGTGGGGTTTAGGATTGTCAGGACGTAACAGTCCCATCGACT